TAAAGGTCTTTTCCAACCTAAGTGATTCTGTCATTCTAACTTTTGGAAAATTCTGTTTCCTTGTCCTGTTCTGTTCTAAAGTTTGCTTATGAGTTGGCAGTGGGTAAAGTTCCCTATCGTTATGGATGAAACAAAATGAGAATTTTGAAGTATCTGTATGCTACATGTATGTAAGTATGACCATGTAAAACACAGGTTTTTAAGTTATAAGAGTTGCTGCTTATGCGACACAATCTAAAAATATTTAAGCAGTTTTCTTCAAAAAAATAGTTCTATCACTTCTACCTTTAGCTACATTTGTGAACTCAGTAGTTCTGGAATTTCATTATAAACTTGGCTTAAATAGCAGTGTTTACCAAAATCTTGTCTGTGAGGTCTTTGAAAGTCTGCACCTGTTGCTGCAGGTGGTCTGTTGAGCTCTCACTAATAAAATAGGTAGAGTTGTTGGCTACCTGTTTGCTAATGATCCAGAGGGGTGAGTGGGAAATGCCGGTATTTGGCATTAGTCTTACAGCTAAAGCAAAAAAAAAAAAAGAAATAATTTGCTTCGTACCTGAATGAATGAATGTTGAGTATGCTTTGTGTTGAAAAAAGTTTTCATATGCTTACTACAATTACAGATATTAATTTGAAAGACATGCTGTGCTAGGGAAGATCACCGTGTATATATTATAGGCAGATGATTTTACACGTTTCCACTCTTTTTTCATCCCTAGGTCAATTGCAAAAGAGCTTGCAGACTGGCTTATCAGCAACAATGTAGTTGAGCACATTTTTGGACCAAATTTGCATATTGAGGTTTGTATAAAATTATTATTATTTTTAGTACAAACATGGAGGACTAACTTCTTGTTCTAGTAAATCTTTCCTCAATATGTTCTCACTTTGCAGATCATCAAACAGTGCCAAGTGATTCTGAATTTTCTTGCAGCTGAAGGGAGACTTAGTACTCAACATATAGACTGTATTTGGGCTGCAGCACAGGTATATGTAAAATTTTTGTAATTGCAGGAGTGATAAAAAAACAAGTCGGAAAATGGCAAGTTGGTTTTGTTTTATATTCGTAAAACTGAGTTTCTTTCTTTTTCTTGTCTGTCTGTCTGAGTATTTTGCTGACCAAAATTTTAAGTTAGGTAACTGCCACCGTTACTGGTTTTTTCATTAGATGCAAGAATTCCCCTAGGCTACTTTTGTACAAGAAAAAAAATGAAGTTGTATAGAAAAGACGTAGTGTTTTCACTAACAATGGGGATGAAGATTGTAGGGTAGATGTAATATTTTTACTATTGTGCTAAATTGCCTTACTCCTATGTGTTGTATCTTCCATTTCTGTTACTCCTGGTGGGAACAATCAGGTGAAAATTGTGGCAGTGAAGTTTACAGCTGTGCTACAGTGCTGGTGTTAAAACCTACAGAAGGCACTGAGATTTTATTTTTTCTTGGTAAACCTGGAAACTCTGATAGCCTTTTTCCTTCAGAAAGATATACTTATTTGCTACTTTTAATGGATTGCTATGCTTTTTATGTTAGATTTTGAAATTTTTATTTAGGGAATGTGAATATAGTAGACATTTTGATTTCCTGTTGTGGGACCTGTTTTTCCATGGTTTCATTCTGCATTTATTATTAAAAAACCTACCATTTCAGTGTCAATTTTTCTGAAAAATACACTCAAAATGAAGGTCAGAGAAATAAAATTGATCTTTTTGAACAGATATAGGGAACATACTTTTATGGAAGTTAGAATGTGAAGGGTTTTTTTTTAATGTGTTCGATATTTATCCAATTTGTTTCAATCAAATACTACTGTATACACATTCTGAAACCTCTGTAGTCCATTGTTACTATAACATGCAGCTGGTATGTTAATAAATGCTTATTGTAACAGTGTTCACTCTAATGGGCTCCAACAATTTTCTGTATCAGTATTTAATAGTTACTTATTTCACTTAATTTTTAAAGCAATGTTTTACCTTCCTTAATGTTTTCACACATACACTAACTCACACCAGTTAGACCTCTGAATTTTTTCTCTTTTATACTATTTTAAGAACTTAATGTAATTACCCAAATGCAATAATTCTTTTACAGTTTACATGTTCCTTTTGACATACTGATATTTTTAAAACATACATGTTTGATATCAGAATTAAGTATGTCCTGATTATTTCCTGTAAAAGGTTTAAACCTCTGATACCATTTAAAAGGCTGACAGCTTTAGACTGAAAGACTAGAAGGCCTTAAAGAATGTTTTCCACTTTTTAAACTAACTTTTTGACAAAAATTTATCTTCTCTGAGTTGAAGCAGGTATCTCAAGATGTTAACATGCATCCTTGTGTAGAACCCACATAATTTCATTCCAGTTTGAGTCCTGTAAAAAATGGCCTATACTCCATAAGCTGCCGACATGGATATTTTATGTGTCAGGAAGGCAAAATAAAAGAAAGAATGAAAACACCCCTTTTGAGGTGCATATGTCGTAAACAACATTAGGAATTTTTCTTCCTAGAAGCTTCCTGTAACCATTATTTTATTTGTTTAATATCAACATCCTTACAAACATAATGAAGCCCTTTGAGTGACTATGAAAAGCAGCACTTAACCTAAGAGGAAACATCTAGGCGCACTGTCAATTTAATGTTTAAGAAGAGTAGTTAGCTAAACACACTGTCATATTTTTTGACATCCATTACTGGAAAGACAAAAGAATTATAAATAATCCTCACACAGTTCACATGGTCTGTTCTCAGTCTCACATTAGCCTGTAATGTCGGTATCTGTATTTATTGCTGCTAATAAGGTAATCATTGCAAATATTATTTCTCTCAGGATTTAGCATATACACTAATATTTTAGAAGTTATATTTAAGTTAAAATAGAAAATAAGCTTCCAGTTCTTCTTTTCACCAAATCTCTTAGAACTGGAACTAAGGAAGGTATTGTTACATTTGATTTCACTAAACTTTATATGCTTTACAATATAAAAATAAAGTTTAGTCAAAATTGCAAGTCTGGTGTAGTTTGGAATTACTGGACAAGCGCTTCCTGAGAATTTGTGCAAAGATGTTACAGAATCGCAGAATTATGTAGGCTGGAAAAGACCTTTAATATCATCAAGTCCAACCATCAACCCAGCACCGCCATGCCCACTAAACCATGTCCTGAAGTACCACGTCCACACATTTTTTTGAATACCTCCAGTGATGGTGACTCCACCACCACCCTGGGCAGCCCCTTCCAATGTTGTTTAATTGCTGCAATTATATCAATGTTTGAATTTTTTTTCAAGTTTATTTTCCTGTTCCTTTTATCTTCTCTGTTTGTTTGTACTTTGTAGCTAAAGCATTGCAGTCGTTACATACATGACTTGTTTCCTTCTTTGATCAAAAACTTGGACCCTGTCCCACTTAGACATCTTCTTAACCTAGTCTCAACTCTTCATCCAAGTGCTCACACTGAACAGGTAAAGACAAGGGGAACAAAAGCGTTGTAACAAGAAAAGAAGGATCTTAGTATATTAAACAAGCATTGTGGATTTGTCTTTGCCTCTCTAAAGGAATGCATGTAAAAGTAATATTCATCAATGCATAAGAAAGGAAATTATATGAGTAAAGTTGTCATGTTTCTTCAAGTAAGCCTTTTCTGGCTTTTGAATTGTAACCTTTTTCAGGGATTTTTTAAGACTGCACAACCACTAATAGAAGATTTTAACTGCATGTCTTTTTACCCTCATGTCTGAAGCTAAAAGGTGTTTCATAAAACATTATTTTGTGCATTCATTTATTATAATGAGTTTATTTTGGTGAACTACAGCATTGGCATGTGGAAAGGTTAACAGTGGATCTTTGCATACAAAACCTACTGCTTCTTAACGGCGCTGTTATCTGGGTTTTTTTATAGACCTTATATTTGGCATCAATGCTTATAAAAGCTCTCTGGAATAATGCACTAGCAGCTAAGGCTCAGCTATCAAAACAAAGCTCCTTTGCATCTTTACTGAGTACCAATCTGCCTATGGGAAACAAAAAAGGTATGTGGTTTTCCAACAGACCTGGTAGTTCAATTTTCAGTTGTCATAGTCTCCTTGTTGACTTTGGACAAAAAAGATGTCTAGAACTTTTTACTTGAAGTACTTTTAAAAAGTGTCATCCTGGCTATTCTTTCAAGCAGAAGTTGAGGATAAAGACGATAGCATTAAGACTTTGTGAGCGCATTTGGAAAGCTTTCTATTTCAGATCAATTCTGTTTGTATATCTAAAGTAGTATGTATTTTTCTTTTCTCTTTTTTTCAAAATTCAGAGGATGGTCTATAACTCATCACTTAACTATTCTTGTTCTGCTGAACATCTGTAACTTAAATAGCTACTTAGATAAACTTTTGTAAGGTTTTAAGTTTTACCTAGTTTTTGATATTATGTGCTATTTCTGGGTTTTTTTTTTTTCTTGACTGTGTATTTCTCCACAGTCATTACGAAAGGTACTGCCAAGCCATTTCGTTGTAGTTTCCCTTTCTTTTTCTACTGCTGATTTTTATGAATCATGGACAACTATATGCTGACAAAAAGATTTTTAGTCACTTATTTTTCCATCCTGCTTTTTTCCTTCAGAAGAAGAGGAGCTCAGAAGAGCAGCCCCATCACCTTGTAAGTATAGTTTTAGAAGTACACCACAATCTGATGCATTTTGATACTATGGTGTTTTTCTACAGCTCTCAAATTTGAATAGAAGAACAACTAGTAAAAGTTTGAAATTATGTTTTTATGAGAAGTTAATTATATTGATTAAGAAAATTACATTTTGTATAGAATCTAGAAAATTTATATAGCTGTGCTATATACTGGCAAGAAGAGACATCAGAACACAAGTTTTGTAGTAAAATGCTCAGCGTTCTAAAAAGGATTTTTAGTGTTTAGGTACACAGATTGTTCATGTCCCTTATTCAACTGTTTGCAGGAAGAATGCTGTTGAGTTCAACATTTGAGGCAGATTTATGAAATGCTGTTACATTCCAATTAATATATATCACAAAGTAACTGTGAAATGTGGTTTTTGAACTAGGGTCACCAGCAGCAAGCCCTCAAAGTAGTGACAACAGTGACACCCACCAGAGTGGAGGGAGTGATATTGAAATGGAGGAACAGCTTATTAACAGAACAAAACATGTACAGCAACGACTTTCAGACACAGAGGTAAGAGTGTAAATCTTAGTCTGTGAATTTTGTTACTGACTTGCCTATTATTAGCTATGGAAATAATATTTTTTCTGTAATAGTTTCAAAACCTGAACAAGAACATAACACGTATGCTTACCTGCAGCAGAATAGTGGGTAGGTAGAACCTTAAGTTCTGTGCAGTTTATGTAGAATGTATTGTACCTTGCCCACGAGCAAGCACACTACAAAAAAGCACCTCAGATTCCTGCATTTAAATTGTATTTCAGTAAGATCCCTCTTAGTAAGGGATCGCATGGCATATTGTTTATGTGTCACACTGTCACCCTGTGTGCAAAGCCTCTTGTGAATAAGATAATGCAAAAATAAAATCATTAAATGTGAATCTTGCTCGGAGCGTTTTGTCATTGGCAACCAAATTGAGAAGGAATGAATGGAAACTTCTAGATTTGGCACATTTCCTCATAAATGAAGAACGATGTTTGAATGATGATGATGATGTTGATTATGTGTTTTCAGTGGTGTTTTATTTTTCCACCAATCCTAAAAAAAAAAATAAAATAATAATTTCAGGAATCCATGCAAGGAAGCTCTGATGAGACAGCCAACAGTGGTGAGGATGGCAGCAGTGGTCCTGGTAGTAGCAGTGGCCACAGTGATGGATCCAGTAATGAGGCCAACTCCAGTCATGCAAGCCAGTCTGCTGGAAGTCCTGGCAGCGAGGTGCAGTCTGAAGACATTGCAGATATGGAAGCTCTCAAAGAGGAGGAGGATGAAGAGGAAGACGATAGGAGCCATAATCCCCCGAAAAGCAGCAGGAGCGCAGACCTACGGAGCAGGAAACTGGAATCACAAACAGGCATTTGTCTGGGAGATTCACAAGCGGCACCAGAGAGGAGTGGTGCAAATAATGGGGCAGGAAAGGACCATGTTTTTAACACTGACTCTGTGACACCGGTGGATAATCGAATTAGAATGCTAGATGCTTGTTCTCATGCTGAGGATGCAGAGCATGATATGACAGGGGATATGAGCACTGCTCACATTTCACAAGGGTCTCAGGATTCTTGTATAACTCACACAGGGGACTTCCTTGGGGAAACTATTGGAAATGAATTATTTAACTGTCGCCAATTCATTGGGCCACAGCATCACCACCACCACCACCACCACCATCACCATGATGGGTAGGTAGCTTGACATTTCTTCTGATTCCTTCTGTAACAGAAATAAAATCGGTAGCAAAATACTCTGGGCAGAAATTTATATGGGCATTTTGCCATATATCCAATTTAGGATAATTTTGTCTAACAGAAATGGTAGTTATCACAGATAGTTACATCGTAATCTTTTGTTAACATCTGATTGATGTTTTTTGTTAAGTTTTTGTATTAAATAAATAAGACAACATTTAGGAAAATATTAAAATTGTTTTGGAAAACGCTGTATTTAGTTAACGTTAAAGAAGTCAGCACAGTCATCACGGTAGTGAGACTGTCAATTTATCTGTAACTGTTTTTCAAATGCATATGAAAGTCTGCTGTTCAGACAGATGAGTCATCCTGACTTTAGCTTTAGGGAGGTGTCTACTCACTTGTAGTCTGCTATAAACAGCTTTCTGTTTGATATTGTCCATTCTAATATTCTTCTTTTACAGGCATATGGTCGATGATATGCTAAGTGCAGATGATGTCAGTTGTAGTAGTTCCCAAGTCAGTGCAAAATCAGAGAAAAATATGGCTGATTTTGATGGGGAAGAGTCTGGCTGTGAAGAAGAGCTTGTACAGATTAATTCACATGCTGAGCTAACATCTCATCTTCAGCAGCACCTTCCTAACCTTGCCTCTATCTATCATGAACATCTTAGTCAAGGTAAGAGCGATAAAAAGAAAACAGAAAAACATTGTACACCTGCCTTGGTTTTATATAATTTTTAATTGGTCTCCAATAGTTAAAATAATAAAATTATTTTAACCATACATGTGTATTTGCTCAAAGGAACCACAACAACTACTGAGATTTTACTGTTTCTCCAAGGGGTTCATTTTTGTATCACGTTTGAGGTAGTTTTGTTTACCTTCTTAAATTTTTTCCCCCCCTATTTCTACTGGAGATTTTAATTCAAGTTAAAACAAATTAAGGCACTAAAAAACCTAGCAAATGTTTTTTCTAATCAGTTATTAAAGTAAAAAGAAAGGTGGTATGGAAACGTGAGATTTTTTTTCTCACTGAAACCTTACGCAATTTTTCTTGTTGTGGGTGGAGCTTACTGTGATTCCATACATTTGTCATCTTAAATGAATTAACCGTAATGGGCTGTACAGAGAATAATTTTGGAAAAATGAGTTAAAATATAACTTGATACCTTGGGGAGTTTGCCTTAAAGGGCATTTTATGCTATTCTATCTTACACTGCCAAATCTTCTAGTTTACTTCAGAGTGCAATTTAAGATGCTACTAAAACACTTCTTAGAAATTATATCATCTTTGCATATTCTATTGTGGCAGCTTTATTTTCTGTTTTATCCTCCTTTTAAATATAATGGAGGGTATGGTTAGTGAAGGTTTGACATTTTTCTTCACTGGTCTGGCAGAACCAAGTTTGCTATCTTCCAGCAGACAGTAAAACCAGTACTATTTATATCTTTTACCAAAACACAGTTGAGCAAGAAGTCTCTTTTTTCTTTTTTTTAAGGCTTAACATTCCTTGTTATGTGGAACTGAGTTATAATTTCAGCCTGACATTGAAAATTTGGAAGGATTTTTTCCCTACGCTACAGAGTTGAATAAACTACTAAAACTTTGCAGTTAAAACATGCTGTAAATCAGCATATTTTTTCAATATTTTCCATAGATATTACAGATCTTACCAATGATTCAAATTATTGTTTGAGCATGAGGCCTTCAGTGCAGATTATTTTTGACACCCCTAGTTTTGCACATGCAAATAATTAGTGTTCTGCACACGATCTAAATTTTCTACTTGACTTTGCTGGTACCAGAAAATAGTATCAAATAGTAGAAAAATGAGTGGTGCCAGCTGTGGCCATGTAGAAGAAGAAAAATGTCTATCAGTGTTTATGAAAACATGATGAGTTTCTAAAATCATGCACTTTGATACTCTATCATGTATAAAAAATTATGTTTGTTTTTCCTGGTTTTTAGTTAGATACAGAAAATCATGCAGTATGAGAGGAATTTATTGAAATGTGCTTCTTTCTTGCTTTCCAACCATGGTAGTTATAAAGATACTTCCCTTCAGACCACAGCACTACAGAAAGACTTAAGAAATATTTTAATTACACTATGAATTAAATCTAATTAAATTAAAAAGCAATTGCACCCGCATCTGCAGTTCTTAAGTACTGTTTTTATTGCGCCTTGCCATTAGCCAAAACCAGTGTAAATATTGGCTTAACTGTCCTGTGGACTTCTTGTATGGTCGTAATATTTTGTCATCTTTAAAAAAAACGCATATGTGGAAAAAGGCTGCAGTTACAATGTTGATGTATGCACTTTAACACAGCCAAGTTTACCAATAAAGCATGTTGTTGTTCATGTGCTTAGGGAATAATGTTCAGATTAGATAGTTCCTTCTATTTATTCAATAACGGTCTTTATATTTTGTTCAGGACCAGCAGTTCATAAACATCAATATAATAGCAATGCGGTGACGGATATTAATTTGGATAATGTTTGTAAGAAAGGAAATACCCTTTTGTGGGATCTGGTCCAGGATGAAGATGCAGTAAGTTGAATACCAGAAAATAATATTTTTTTAAAAGAAAATAAATATATACTATTCAGTGACCTTTCTTTCTACTTGCTGTAGATTCATCTCTCTGAAGGGTTAATAAATGAAGCAGAGAAGCTGCTCTGTTCTTTAGTATGCTGGTTCACTGACAGACAGATTCGAATGAGATTTATTGAAGGCTGCTTAGAAAATTTAGCAAACAACAGGTAACTTAAATCATAAATTATCTGTTTTTACATTTATCTATTTTTGCAACATACAGGAAATCCAAGTTGACTGTAACAGTTATTTTAACTTTACAGGAAGACAAGTTAAACCAGACAAAAGCTAACGTGTAAAGTAGTTTTCAAGGTGTTAATGGATGTATCTGATGTTCCATTTTTCTATTCTATCAGTGTCCTGAATTTCTGATCTTGTTGCATTTGTCTGTTCTCCCTTCTGCCAGAGGTTACTGCCTTCCTACCAGTTGGTAAAATCAGGTCCACATCTTAGCCAGTTGAGTGCGTGGTTAGGTGCCTTAGCATAAGCATTTTGAATTGAATATTTAGATTTTACACGCAAATGGCTGAGGAACAGACAAGTTCTTTTCCACCAGGTCTGTTGTGGGGTTTAATTTCTGTGAAGAAGCAGCTGGAGGTAGAAGTAATACTTTGACCTCCGATAACTTGTTTTAATACCAGCCAAGGCTGTGAGATTGTGCAGTTTAAAGACTGGCAAAAGTGGAATTGATTTTGTTGGTACAACCAATCAACTGCTGGACATCACCTGCGGTGTTATGTTGTTACCTTTTGCTAAGAACTGTATTTGTGAGATGAGCTACAAGTATACGGAGATATTAATTAATAAAATAAATGTGAAGGTGCCGATACGAAAGTTCAGTTACGTGCAGTTTATGCACTTGATGAGTTTTCCTAGATAGTTTGAGGCAAATTTATTTCGTAGAATCATAGAATGGGTTGGGTTGGAAGGGACGTTTAAAGGTCATCTAGTCCAATCTCCTGCAATGAGCAGGGACATCTTCAGCTAGATCAGGTTGAAGAATATTTCTGCTATGTCATCTGTTTGTAGGAAAATCATATTAATTTTGCTGAAATTTCAAAAGAGAAGTATTATGAAACTAAGAATTTATCTTTTGAAATTCAAATATTTTTAAGAAGAAAAATGTATACTCTTATATTTTTATACTTGCCCAACAGCTGTGTGTCCAAGGTATTACATGTAAAGAATTTGAAGTAGGTGTAGTTCAGATTCAGAAAACTAACTGGCTGACATGCTGGTAAACTTCACGTGGCTATTTCCAGTGCTTTTGGTTAGCCTATTTGCTCACTGAACCTGAGCTTCTCAAAGTAATTTTAAAATGGAGTATTTTAATTTTGTAATGATCATATATTGTCATCATTTCTCTGTTTCTCCTTTAGATCAGTAGTAGTTTCACTTCGTCTTCTACCAAAGCTGTTTGGTACGTTTCAACAATTTGGGAGCAGTTATGATACACATTGGATAACAATGTAAGTAGCCCCCTGTCCCCAACAGACTAAACCAACAGAAGTGATGACATTTAGGGGACTGCTGCAAGGCTTGCTCCTTTAGTGTGGTCCAAATTAATAATGACCTAAGGTTATCATCTGTCTGCTACCTGGCCTAGTTGTATGAGCTTGTCTAACCACTCAGGCGTAGACTTCTTCATAATATGCAGCATGGTCATAATTGAGGTGAAGACTAATTTTTTTTTTTTTTTTTAATCCCTCCCTTTAAAATCCCAAAGGACTTGCAGGCAGCACTAAACGTCCACTAATAGTGTATTGTAAAAGGTTGTAATAACTTCATGTTATGTCATTCTCTTCTGATTGTATATCACATGTTTCTCAGTAATAAAAAATGGGTTTATAAGAAAACCTTTGAAATGTGAAGATACATAGTATAGCATTCCTTACTAGAACAAACTATATAACTCGCTGGTCTAACTATAGAGAACGGACTACTGGAACTTCTGGGAAAGATTACAGTGATTATCAGCAATTTTTCTTGGTCTTTTTGACATGACATTTAAATATATGCCTAGTCTGAGTTTTGGTTTAGACTTTTTCTGAATTAGGGCTTTTAGCAACAGTTTTCATGGTTCTCAAAAGGGAGTGTTCTGACAGTCCTGTGTCTGAAAATAACGACTTTGTGGAGCCTTATGGATGACAAGGAAGAAGAGGGTACTGTAGTGGAAAACACTCCTGAATTCATGGTAGATGGAAAATTGAATGTTTACTTTGGTTTTATGTGTATGCAATTTTCCTATACTAGCTGTCTAATTCCTGTAGCTGTTCTGATCTTTTTAAGCAAACCATAATACTTTCTGCCCTTTAAATTGACACAGGTGGGCAGAAAAGGAACTTAATATGATGAAACTTTTCTTTGATAATTTGGTACACTACATTCAGGCAGTCAGGGAAGGACGACATAAGCACGCATTGTAAGTACACAACTGACTTTGAGTCTTTGATATTTTATGGTTTTAAATGTCTCTTTTCTTGCTTCTGGTGCTTCTGATGTGTTCTTATAAGTAAATACTTTCTATAGGGACGTTACATGTTAGGGAGACAAAGGTCTGTAAAAATAACAGCATTTTAAATAACTTCCCTTTCCTTAAAAAAACCACGCAACAACTCTCATGTCATTTTTGTTAGACATTATATATTCAAATACATTTTAAAGTGTTTCATATCATAAAACTTTTCAAATGTTTCCGTTTTAAAATCTGTTATCATTAACCTTTGCAGTAGTTTTTTTTTGTTTAACATATTCATCCACACTTTCCAATCTGTATGATCAAAATTAGGTGTATATGTAGAATTGGTACAATTTCTGGCTTCCCAATCCCAGAGGAATAGACTATTCACGTTTTGACAGATGCCAAAGTCAGTATGTAAATACAGGTATCCACAGTTGAAAAATGTTGCTATTTATGGGTCAAATTTTTACTTCATCATACACCTTTATATTGGACATTGCTCTAGTGAGAAATCGCTTCAAAAGCTGCTTGAAAGTGGGATGAATTGCTCTAAATTCAGGCAAAATAATACATTGTTCTGCTCCTTTGACCATTAAGCTTCTATCTTACAAACAGAAATAAAGTTAATCTTATTATATAGCTTAGGAAAATAGTGCTATAAAGAGAATCTATATGTATCAGCTGGGATCAGAAATTCAGAGTACAAATACCAGCATTTTACAAGTCAGGGAAAAAATTAAGGTCAGATCCTGCAAGGTGCTAATGATAAAATTATGCACTTGAATTGGACTGTATACCAAAGAACCCTGTCTCACCCCTCCAAAAAACACCTTATCTAGTAATGACTGGTGTGTCACTCCACTTATTTGGTGTGGTTCTGTAATGTGTACAACTGGAGTCTAGACTATATACTGAACTAGAAGTTCCGAAAGAAACTTATAAGGAAAAATTATGCTTTTAAGAGGCACATATATAAGTGGGAAAAAAGTTATGACAAGAAACAATTAAATAAACTTGAATTTTTATACAAATTTAAATTTTAGATACAGCCACAGTGCAGAAGTTCAGGTTCGTCTTCAATTCCTGACATGTGTGTTTTCAACTCTAGGATCACCAGATCATTTCAGTAAGTATTTGAGGTTTCCTTATGAGGGAAGCACCTCATAATAAGGCTCACATAGTTCTTAATAATCAATGTTAGCTTAAATAAATAGAGTATTTTAAATGGTTACCATTTTAAATAATCTCTCATACCACTTCAAAAGAAGGAATATTTTTTGATGAAAGCACAGAAACAATACTGGAGTTTAGATTCTGTTGCAGTTCTGTGAGAACAAATTTTTATGTTCTCTCTGCTTCAGTTTTTTCTAAATATTAGGATTGTAGTAATTACTGTAACAAAGATAATATGTTCTGTGTTTGTGGGTTTTGGTTCACATCCATAATGTTTCCAGAGATCTTTTACTGGAGTGCACTGTAAGCTGTGATACCAAAAAGGACTAGTTCTTTATATTTTAATACTGCCAGGAATTGGTTTACATGCCCTGTAGGGTCTTTTGCAAAAGTGGTATTCTGTATGATAGTTGATCTGTACAGATCCTGAAATCTTTTTACTCTAAAAGGTTAAAAATAGAAATCTTTTCATGTGGCTGATGGAATTCAAAGTTGAACATAATTTTCTGTGGTGCCTTTGGTGGCTTTCCCTTCCATAAATTGGTTTGGCTGCTCTCTTCTTAAGCCCTTGTGAACTAATAGTCTTCAGTGTTGTCTCAGCATCAGCTCTGTACAGACTTCCAGTTGATTGTATATTGAGTTAATTTATTGAAATGACTGAAGGGAGGAGCCATTTGGGTAGTCTCATGATAGGTAGTCAAAGTTGTCATACAATGCATGGCTTGTCCCTCTGGTCATTAGAGTAGAGTACAGGAAGGAATGAGAATATCTGTAGCCAAGAGAAAAAAAATTCTAGCACCATATTTGCTATTGTTGATAGGATAGCCACAATTCTTTTTAAAGAAATCTGTTTGGATCACAAATGTTTGTACGCCAGCTAAGAAAATAAACTTACTGTTCTCTTGAAAGGAGAGGCAATGAAATAGTTAGAGATATTATTTTCAACCACAGTCTCAATACCCATCTCAAAGCTGGACTCTAGGTTGTGCCCAATAATTACTTATGAACTCAGAAACAACCTGCTGTTCGGTATGAGATCCCAAGTCAGCCCACACTACTCATTAGGTTAGTAACAACTGACAGCATTAATGACCAAACCCTGTAGCTGGTTGCCAGCTCTAAAAGGGGACAAGTACAACTCCTAATGGGTAGTTGGTGCCTTTTTCTTTCGTTCTTTCCAAAACCTTCTTGTCCTGACAAAAACTGTTCTGATTTTTCCACATGTATTCTTGGCTTTTGTAGAATATCGCTATATAGTTGATGTTATAAAGGGATAGTAGAAAATACTTCTCTAATTTTAGGGTTGAGTTTAGAACAAGTGGACATACTGTGGCACTGCTTAGTAGAAGATTCTGAATGTTACGATGATGCACTACACTGGTTCTTAAATCAAGTACGAAGTAAAGATCAGCATGCTATGGGTATGGAGACTTACAAGCATCTTTTTTTGGAAAAGGTATGTAGAGAGTTAATTGCAACCTTATTAATTCTAATGAAAGTGTTTCTTTCCTTATCAGCACTATTTAACATATTTTAAGTTGTTTCTATGAAGTATGTGATGGTTGGACTTGATGATCTTAAAGGTCTTTTCCAACCTTAATGATTCTGTGGTTCTGTGATATGTTTTCAGTAGTCCGGGAGGGCCCTGGTTGTCACGCAATGATATTTCTCTGCTTGGAGGAAAGAGAGAAACACATTGGTGTGAATTCTTTTCACACTAGTATTTACTTGAGTGTTTCTTTGCAAATAGCCTGTGTTTTGTACCTGAAGCTATGTAATACTTCATTTCAATTTGAAAAAAAGAGTCACCCAAAACTATACTTTCCCTTATGATATACAGCTACCTGACTAAAAAAATGACTTTTCTTCTTTTTGAGAGGGGCGTATAAGTCTCATCAATACATCCACTGAAAATATAAACATGCAGCAGTAGAGCTTCTTGCAAGGGGTCCCATCCATTTCAACAAACAACATTACAAAATGGATAGGTTGTGCAGTAATTATTGTAGGCTACTACTTTTTTAAGGTTACACAGTTTTTGCCTAGTTTTGTAAGCGTATGAGTTTTTTGAATGGACATTTCATGTATGCTAACAAATTGTCCTACTGTTGATAAGTTAAGCAGCTAATGTACAATAATTTTTGTTCCCTCTGAACTGTTATGGTCCAAATCAGTGGTAGAGAAAAGAGGTTTGCTTAAGCCAATTATACTTGATTTTTTGTATTGTATATAAATTCAGAGAGTGTGATCTTTTGCGAGAATAAATTTTAATTGAGCTACTGAATTTGAATATGATTGGTAGTAACAATGACATTTTTCTGGACTAATGAAATAAATACCCTGTAATTGCTATCCGTTCCATCACTGAATTTTTTTTTTCCATACTAAAGTGCATTCCTTTTATTTAGATGCCACAACTAAAACCTGAAACTATTAGTATGACTGGCCTAAACCTCTTCCAGCATTTGTGCAATTTGGCTCGATTGGCTACTAGTGCATATGATGGTGGCTCAAACTCAGAGGTAAGCCTAGATCCTGTGCTCATGTTTTTCTTCTCTCTGAGGGAAGGGCAAAGTTGAATTACTTACCTGCAATGGCATATCTCTTGAGAACTTACTGGCTTTGAATATTGTTTTACTGGTTTGAGATAGTGATGTCACAGCCCATAGTGGTGGTTTACAGATTGTGGTGGTGGTGTACAGATTTCTGCCGTGAGGATAGCCTTGGGAGCTCAGGACTCAAAAATTCCAAAGATAGGGCAGTGAAGTGGAGATAAGAGAGACCAATGATCCTGACCTTCCCTCATGACTGAGCACGTGTGGCTTTTGTCTCTAGAGGCAGAGATAGGAAACCACAAAGGATACCTGTTGCCTGCATATCTCTGTGCAGTTTATCCTATTCTTAGGGCATACTGAATTCTGACTGGAAATCTCTTGTAAAATGTGTCTCAGTTTACCTATGATGTGCTGTAGAAGTTTTTCAGTTTTTCAGTTCAGAAAGTGTCTTAAATAAAATGTTACATAGGATATTGTTCTGTGAATTGCTTTCAGGCAGTTTTTTATTAAAATTCATATTCTTGCAGTGAATACCAATAATAGTTGTGTTTTTAAGGCTTCGTTTAAAAGTATTCCTGTTTGTCAAAAATGAGAATTCACTCTTTTGAATTTTAACCAGTTCACCTCATGCTTCCAAGTATGAAAATAGTTCTGTGGAAGTTACTTGATGTGTGCAGTGGTGAGAGCCCGAGCAGAGGGAAAACAGAGATATTTTTAGTAATTACATCAAGAGACACATCAAATATCTCAGGTCAGAAAAGCATCACTCCCTGTAAAATAATGAGGCAATGTTTTGTTTCTGTGTATGTTCTCCTTTTGTCAAAACAGTTGTGTGGCATGGACCAATTCTGGGGTATTGCTTTAAGGGCACAGTCTGGTGATGTCAGTCGAGCGGCTATCCAGTATATCAACTCTTACTATATCAATGGTATGAATTTTTATTTTTGTTTTCTGTTTAAAATGTTGTAAACGGTATGTAGTGCTATCCTCTCTTTATTCTTGGTATGAAAATGCATAGTCCCAAAGTTGTGCATATATAATTTATTTAAACTGATATTACAGGTAAAACTGGTCTGGAAAAAGAACAGGAGTTTATTAGCAAGTGTATGGAGAGTCTGATGATAGCTTCTAGTAACCTTGAGCAAGACTCTCACTCAAGCCTGACCATTATTGAAAGAGGACTCTTAATGCTGAAGACACACCTGGAGGCTTTTAGGAGGAGGTAAGTAGCTCCGTTGATAGATTTGGATGCAGAATTTATTTATATTCCTTCATAATGATAAATGAGTTAGGAGTTATTATTAATTGAAATATTAGTTTGTTTTTCTTTGTGTAAAGTAAGGACAGCAGTGAATAATTTTGAAAGGTAATATATAAGCTTTAAACAGTTAACAAGAGTTGGCCCTTGTTCTTGTATAAAGACATATGGATGTGGTTCATGTTTCCCCATCCCTCGCCAAAGAAACTTTTTCAAAGTTATTTTAGTTTGATTTGAAAAATAGTAAGAATACCTTCCTCTTATTTTGAAAAAACAGTGAATACAGGTACAAGTTTTGTCTTTCCTCTCATTGTTTATCAAACATTTGTGTTAAATAGGTTTTGACAAAAATAGTTCTTCAATGTTTTTACCTGTTCTTAAGGTTTGCTTATCACCTGAGACAATGGCAGATTGAAGGCACTGGTATCAGCAGTCACTTGAAAGCCCTGAGTGACAAACAGTCACTACCACTAAGAATTGTATGTCAGCCAGCTGGACTTCCTGACAAGGTAAGTTAAAAGCCCTTTTAAAAGTACATCCTACATTGTTAAATTCCAGTAAGCCCCTTGTGCACTTTGAAAAATAAAATACGTGTTTTATTTCAGATGACAATAGAAATGTATCCTAGTGATCAGGTGGCTGATCTACGGGCAGAAGTCACCCATTGGTACGAAAATTTGCAGAAGGAGCAGATAAATCAACAAGCACAGCTTCAGGAGTTTGGCCAAAGCAGTCGCAAAGGGGATTTCCCTGGTAAGCTGTAGTACTCATAAATGTATTTTTCGCCCTTATGGGGGTTTCTTGAGTGCTCCCATTTATTTGAAATGGCAAAGAAAATGTAGATCTTAGATCTGCCAAAGGTCCTTAGATCTAGCCAAGCTCCAAGTCCCAATAGACTTTTCCCCACATTATTTTTCTTCTCGTTGTTTTAATTAATTGTGGTGTTTTCTGCAATTTGGAGATTCTGTTACATAGAACTTTATTCTATGTTTTGTGAAATTTATACAGTCTGGCTCTGCCATTGACTCAGAATTTGAAGTCATAATTCCAGTTCATAATTTATATCCTACATATATGTATTCCAGTCAGGTGTAAGATTTTCCTTACTCCTGCAACTGCTTTTTAATTTATGATCATCCTGCAGCAAAAATGATTATTCATCCTCTTTTGATGCTCTTAGTTTGGAATGTCACCTTGCTTCTGAGATGGTCATTGCTTGCTTACAGTGTGATGAATATGCTTCCTGTTGTTGTTCCCTTTCTTTATGTGTTTTGAGTAAATGAAAATTTCTGCTTTATCCTTTAGGAGGAGGACATTTTCTAAATCCTATTGATAACTCTGTATTACAGCATTTTTATCGGTTATTGCTGTTCAAAATGCTATTGCTTTCTGAATTATCTTCTCAATGTTTTCTTGTTTTCTTTCTTTCTCATTAAGAGCAAGAGTTAGTATGTAATACATATTATCTGAACAAATTCTGTGCATGAACATCTTTTTCCAACACTACTGACCATTAGTATATGTGTAAACATGAATCTGTCTTTTCATAGTTTAACAACTTTTTAAAAAAATGTTTTGATGAGACACACGTGTCAGTAAACCAGACTGAATTTTAGACATCTTAATTACCTTTTTTGTGAAATCCTTTACCCACAGAAGATGTTTTAGTGAAGAAACTACCTTGTTTTCCACCAAGTATAGCCACGCAGCAGCAATTTTTATTTTTGTTTTACCTGGGATTTTAGAAACACATGATTCAGAAAATTCAGAATTGCAGTCCTACAGCAGCTGCAGTTCAGTCATATTACATATGTACAATGTCTTTTCTTTTGTACAACGCCTGTGCTGATACCCATAATTTTGTACAGTTTTTGTGGATGTTTTTTTATTTTTTCTGTATTTATTACACTAACTGTTAACATACCATAACTATGGGAAACTGGAGAATCATGAAATTTGTGTCTTGTCAATTCATAAACCCAGTGTCCTTTGCTAGGTTTAAAACCTTGATATCTGTGTTGGCTGATAAATGCATAAAATCCTGTAAAAGCAGCTAAATCTCTTATTAACCAAACTCTTGAAGAAGTGTTTCTGCATTGTTCTGTGCATGCCACCGTGTGTTTGGAATAACCTAGTCACATGATTTTTACTTTTTTAACTGCTAATTTTGAGAAGATAGGACTGAAACTCAGACTTGCGGTTAAAACCTGTAGCTTTACTCATCCATACCCTATTGTGGGGACTGTTTTGTATAGATGAAAAAAAAAGAAAGGACTTTCTAATTACGTTTTGTTGGTCACAAAGATCTCTGTGAATAATGGTTCAGTGTATTGACTGTTTATACTTAAAAACTTGGGTCATTCTGCATCACAGGAGACATGTATTGTAAGGTACACGGTGCACACTTCTGCCTCGGTGACCTTTTACTACGTCCATTTGAATATGCCTGTATTAGTTAATCTACAACAAAAAAACAATTCCTGGTTAGGAACCTGAAATGGCGATTATTTCCTCAACAGAGGTAGAAATCTAAGCGGAGTTTACCAAATTACAGTGAAAATTAGTGTCTCATGATGTCAGAATACAAGTTTTTCTCTTGTCTTTTCCTTACAGAGCTAAATCTTTTTGTCCTTAATTGGTTTTCAGTTGTTTTCTCGAGTTTTTGTTTTAACCCATGTCTTTGAATACTGTGTTACTATAGCCAGGTAATAGACAGTTTTGAAGCATTTTCAGGTTACAGAACTCGGAGCATTTCCCAAGATTTCTGCAAGAGGTTAAAAAAAAAAATAGGCTTTTCTGAAGAAGCCTCACTGAAATCCCAAAGTTGAAGTGTAGTGGCAGTGAAGGCTGCTTTTCACTGGTGTGGAGGACCAAGGCCTAACGTGGGAAAAGTGTACTTGCAAGAGCAGTGGCTGAAAAACGTAGCAAATTTCAATCCGTGACAAATATCTTTGTGCACCAGAATTGGTGGCTAGAGCTATATCAGTACTCTGAGGTATAAAATCATTGTGAATTGTGATTCTTGGTTACTGCTTGATTGTCTGTGCCAAATTAAATTAAATACTTAATCTTGTAATTGTTCAGATTTCTTGTTCAGTGTTGAGAATTCTTTGAAGGGTGTTCTCAATTTTTTCTTTCCGAAGTATATGACATATTCAGTTCCAACCTACATTTAAATAAGATTAATCATTGCCACTTTGCCTTTGCTGACTTTATCACAGGTGTGTGATACAAAGGGATTTTGCTGATGATCACAATAATTTTCAGTTACCCTTTTCTGGAATAATTTACTACAAAGTATGGAAGGCATGTTTTAATCTGTATTGTGAACTCTTTTTGCTAGAAGACTGGGTGAACTGTTACTGAAAAGGTTACTTCTGAATACATGCAAGTAAATTTAGTTTAACGTAATAACCAGTTTTCATAAGGAAATTGCATTAAGTTTTTGCCTCATTTTAATTGCTATTGAAGGATGTACAATTAAAAATAAGTCTTAGCACTTTCATTAGAAAATGAAACTATGATTCCAGAAATTTAACGTTTTTATCCTAGGTGGCCTCATGGGACCTGTGAGAATGATTTCATCTGGGCATGAACTAACAACCGATTATGATGAAAAAACACTTCACGAATTGGGCTTTAAGGATATGCAGGTATTACCAGCATATAGATAGCAGTCACTGGAAAAGATTGGTTGTTATATTGGTTTTGTCTTGTGCAGCTGATATATATAGTGGAGGTGGAAGGCGTACTTTTCTTTGGGAGCATCCTAGAGTTTTCTGAAACTGTTTCATCCTATCCAATACATGCCTCCTGTAAGCTTAAACTGATGCTGTTGGTCCTTGCTGCTGTCAGTCTTTAAAATAATTAATAATTCTTAAAGCCTAATTCTAGTTATGTTAGCAGATGTGAAAACTCGAGGAATAAAAGAAAAATTTCAGGTTTTTTTCATTCCGAAAGGAAAACAAGGGATCAGTGAAAACAGAATCAAATATCCACATTTTGTCTGAATTTTTGAACACCGTAATAGCAGTGACCAGCTCTCTCCTTTCACATGTTAAATCCAAATGGGATGATCTATTAGACTACATCTTTAATTGTTAGTTAGTTCTTCTTGCTAAATGAATTGGGTTAATTCAAAAGCAAAACCAGTTTTTAAAATAGTTTTTTCTCATTAACATAGATCATTTTACAGAATGGAACTATGGTGCAATCAGATGAATTCTTACGTTTGCAGCACTTGGAGGACCAGTAGCGTTCAGTTTGAATGACTGGGTGTGTTCAATATATGGAGGTG